AAACATCAGGTCAACAAGCATCAAAATCTTTGTTGGAGAATTCACAAGGAGCCCCAAACACAAAGCCCATGAGCCAGATCACCAAGTACCATATAGAGAGCACAGGCTCCTCAAAGGCTTCTGGTTTTGCAGAAAGGTTAAGAAAAGGTTAAGAAGCTAAAACCTTTGAGGACAAGGACTCACCACAGTTTGGCTTAGGGAATGTGCAGTGCAGAAAGAGGGCGGATGTTAGCACAGGGCTGCTATGTGAGTAATGGTGTTATACAGCTCAAGTGCAACTTCTAACAGTAGCACCATCACATGTGTTTGTCAAAAACAATAACCTCTTTTTTTTGTTTCCTTTCACACCATCACAGTATGCCTCATCACCTGCCTTCAGAAAAAGCCCTGAGAATCAGCAATTTCAAAATATATTTATAACCATTCCTGATTAGTACTGTCATACAGCACAGTCAAACCCATCAGTCTGCTTCAAGCTGTTCAGCACTGTACTTCAGCTCATGTCCCAGCTTCAGAAATACTTCAAAAGCCTTGGAAGAGGAGTGAATGGAGGGAGGCCCATACTGCCACTGAATACCCAAAAGCATGAGAAAAGGATCAAGGGAAAAGTAGCTTAGCAAAATCATTCAGAAAACACTCAAAACAGTCAAGGAAGCATTATCAAATGGTTCTCCATGGAATAATATTGCACACAGAAATGTAAAGGGCATGATTTTAGCTTCTTGTCCTCCCTACCCTCACCTTCTATTTTGGAACTCTCATTCTGTCTGGTTTATAGAAGAAAAGTAGTATCATCAACCACCCTTGAAGTAGTTTACATATTTTAAAACAGATACCGAAATGGCATTATGTGGTGTTTCCCACCTCTATTTTGAAATGAGAGTTTTCCCCAAAACTAATGAAAGTACCTACAAGTATACCGAAGCAATGCAAGCTTTGTGTTTTTCACTTTGACTCATGAAAAAAAAAAAATCATCTTATTACAAATTGCTTCTTAACACAAGATTTAGAGATAACTTTTCTAATACTTGAGCAATGACAGCTACTCAAAATTTATAAGTCTGATCTAGCAGTGTATGAGCATGCTTAATTTAAGGCAATCAGCTGACTCCTAACATTCAACCTTTCCCGTACAGATCATTTTTAGACCAGCTATAAATCTGACAAACAGTGAACTATTAAGAAACTAAATTAGGGCTGCTTTAGTAAAAACACTTGGCCTTTCACTGTTTTGAGACTGCAAACAGATTCAAAAAACCATTCTGCCTGTATAAACATTTCTTCTCATCTACTTTCCTCCTTCTCTCTTCCCTCCTCCCAGAGTGGTTATCCACAACAAACTCTCTTCAGTGGCTGTGATCCTGACTTAAGTGAGTTAAAGCAGAGACAAGTCTATATACTTCTCATTACAGATACTTAGCTCTGCTTAAAAGAGCTCTGAAACACACAGATACTGTACTAAAACAGCTTTTAAATAATTTTGTTATTAGTTCTTATAAAAAAAGGGGTGCACCAATAGACTGAAAATGTCACTCTTCGAATGCAGGAACGGCAGTGGCCTGTCGAGGCATTCGGCCCCCCCAGCACCATCCCAGCGCCAATTCCAACCGCAGCCCTTCCAGTACTGCTCTGGTACGCACACCAGCTCAGGTAAGGGCACCTCGGACAGTGCATGGTGTATGGGACTCAGCCCTGAACGTACAGATGATACAAACTCCACGCACTTCAGCCAATATATGTAATATCTGCTAACCAATCAAACAAAAAAAGCACAAGACAATTTAGAGAAATGAGCATTCATTTTAGTATTTGCAAACATTAAGTTCTTAATTGTGTTTATTCTTATTACAGTTATTTTTGTTACTGTTGGTATACTCTTAGTATGATTTGGGTGTATCCAGCCAGATATCACAACTCTTTATGCTGTTACAATATGTACTACTTAAGAATGCCATCAGATAAAAAAAAAATGGAAAAATGGAAATTTCTCTTTGCAAGTTAAAATACTCGATTTTTAACGTCTTGGAAATTAACTCAGCAGCATACAGGGGGGAAAAAAAAAACACCCCAAAACGCAAAAGCACTGATTTTGAATAATGACAACAAAGAAGTGGGTGATCATCTAAGGGTCATTAGGATCACAACAATTTTTTTTCTTGCCTTACATGTTGGTTACTATCTGTATGAAGAACTAGCATGGCAGTAAATCTTGGTGAAGTGAATACGTGCAGGCTCATTGGATGTGGGGTTTTTTTTGTCAAGTCATTTAAATACACATTTAAATATTCTGCAGGTCTGTTTTCATCACATCATCATGTTTGCATGAACATCCAGTGGTAAAATACACTTCAACCAGAAAACAAAAATAATTCACATCTTCTATGTAAGCAACTGTCAAGTAGACATCATGCCATCTATTAGCCTCCACCATGTTTAGATGCAATGCAAATATACAAACTTTATACAACATATGAGAGAACTTCCCATCCCCCTTCATACCCACAGATCTTGGCATTCATTGTCAAAGATAAACATACTGCACTCACATGTCTTCGACCGAGATATCTTTCAGGATCTGGCAGTAATCCACGTTCCACACTGCCTGGTCATCCCAAACTTTAGATGCCAGCAGAATTGCACCCAGCACAATTCGCTTCCAGTTTGCTGGACAAATATCTATCTCTGCGTAAGTTAAAAGTCTTTCAAGATATACCTGTGGAAACACATTAAAATCAAGACTTTATCTATTTTGCTATTATGTAGAAATGAAAAAGAAAACTCATAAACCTATTCCATCAATTTTAGAAGTAATCTGCTCTCAAGAAGATTCTTTTATAAAAGAAAGCTGTAGGTTTAAATACATATATTCATATTTTAAATACATAAGTTCGTATTTTAATTGGCCTTTGCCTTCTGATCATATTACCAGAAACAAAACTGTTATTTTTCTATCTGTAACTGTTGGTAATATAGTCACATGTTGAAATGAATTCAAATGATAGCTTAAATAAATTATTAATATAATAATGTAAATATATAAAATGCTAATTACTAATGAGGAAGGCAAGGGTATGCTACCCATAATAGTTTCTAGCTATCACACAAACAACTATAGTTGTAATTTACAGACAGTAAGTTATCTGATATGGCATCGTTTCATGCCAGGCCCCTCTGGTGAGCCTGTGTGAAGAGGTTCTATAGGCACCTATAGGATGAACGGAGGAACAGTTAACACAGAAACAGCAAGTTGAACAGAGAGGAAAAGTATGTGCTGAGAAGGTAATTCATAACAGTTTCCTCTGGACTGATAAGCTCTGGAGATGAATAACAGCAATCCTGTTGGACCTACAACAACTGACAAACTCAAGACACCACAGTCTGGTCCAATCTGCTCAAGGCCACCAACACAGGCTAGCATCAACCACAGCTCATAGAACCCAGACCTCACCCAAGTGGGTGATGGGTACCTTTTACAATGACTACAGAATTATATATGCTCATCTGACGAAACAAGGGACCCTGGAGGGACTTTCTGAACACCCACCAAAAAGCTGCTGAGCAGGGTGCAGTACGACCCTCTGTTTCCAAACACAGAGCTAGGTTGGCGCCCCCTACTGATGCTCCAGCCAGGGAACTATGGGCAAATAGGGGATACATGAGAGCCCTGATTCAGAAACAAAATTTTTTACTGTCTTTACTAGCATCAAGGAAGTGAACTTGTTCTGCAGTTTCATTCCTCACCCGTGGAACCACTTGCTGTGCACAAAGGAGCAGAACTTGAAACTGGAAGTGCTTCAACATGACAAAACAGACACACTTACTACAACCAACAGCTAGTCCTGATATGCTACTCTATAAAAATTCAGGTTTGCATTTACTCAAGAATAACCTCTTCTTTGTATCTTGTAATAGATCTTTTAATACCCTCTTCACTGCATTGTGATAAAAAGAAATCAGGTGGTTATTTAAATTGCTAGTACTCTTACAAGACTCTACATTGATTGACAGAAACTAGCAGGAGATTTTATGAGATACTCTGATGAAAGTACAATATACATGCAAAATATTATACCTACCTGAAAGGTTGCATATTTTATAAAAACAGAACACTGCTTGGGATTCTGAAGGACCAGCATTTTGGTTTAAATTTTAAATACCTAAAGATATTCTTCTACAGATGCTAAAGGAAATTTACTGCTTCAGTAACAGAAGAAATACATGGCCGCTAAGAAAACTGAAACCATTCCTTTAAGATATATATGTTTTAAAATAATGTTGAAGTTTTTTACTTACTATTTGAAAACATTTTTTAAGAGGGATTATAACTGATTTATAGATAATTACTGAAACTCACAAAACATTTAGAGAATATTTATCCCAAGTTTGGGGGATATCTGTACCTTCAATAAATACTGGACTAACTTTAAACAAGCAACAGCAACTAACTTATAAAAGGAGCATACATACAAAATGGCAGATGCTTAGAAATCTTATTTGGAAAAGCATCATCTCATTGATACTACCAATGCCAAAATAGTTCAACAAATTTTTGAAATTATAAAATACTCAAAAAGTCTGAATAATTACAGTATGTTGGATATTACAGACTGGTCAAATAAAAATAAAGTCTCGGTAAAAGACTTTTGGCTTTCTCACTCCCCAAAGAGTTCTCTATTTTTCTTATGTTAATGAGGAATTAACCGTAATTTTCTTTTAAACACTTCGTTGAACTTAATCTACGTTATAAGGAAGAAAAAGACAGGCATAATAAACATTCCAAAATCTCTGTGAAAACAAAGTTATACATAGCTATAAACTCAGAATATTTACAGGATGAGACCTCACAGATAAAACTGCTGATTTTTCAGGTTTTTTTCTTAAAAACTAAGAAACTTATAGGTAGCAAGATACCATAAAACTAAAGGTGAATTTTTCAAGAGGCCAGATGCCAGACTCCTGAATACATTATTTCTTCTTTACCTATGGTTCGCCCCTGCCTGCCATTCTAACATTGAGGAAAAATGTAACGTTATCTTATAATACTGTAAAACAAAATATCACAAATTGTCCAAAAATTTATTTTCCTTCATAAGAAAGGAAAAACACTATTTAAGTACAAAATTACAAATTCCAAATTATGTGTCAAGTCAACAGAGTTTTGACTTTTTAGTTAGAGCATCGCTCTGAAAAGATGTTGATGTACAAAATTTGGTATGGGGAGTTTTGCCTACGAGGACCTTCCGAGTGGTGTATGAGTCCAAAATAAACAGTACAGTTTAAATGTTTTGAAAAACTAAAATTAAATTCCTAAAAACAAGCAAGTGGTCACTCCAAGGCAAGGATTCAAGACAGAAACTGAAAGAAAAGTGTAGAAGTGGGTAAGATGGGAACAGTGGTGGAGATCCAAAAGACTCACCTCTCCTCTAAGTGGTCAAGTAATACTTATAAAACCAGAGAGACACAAAGCTCAGTAAAAAGGTGGAATATGGATCTCACCAGAGCCTGCATTACCTGATGGTTCATTCTATTTAAAAAGCTGCCTTTTGTTTTCCAGGCAACCTGTGGAAACAAAATCCTTAAACATTATATTACACAAACAAACTTGTTCAACTTGGCAAGCAAAACTGCTTCTTGAACTATGAACAAACAGCATTCCCTGGAATTGTCTCTGGGAAGCTGAAGACTTCTTTAAAGCAATACACCATGTTAATGCAGGGAGCTTCAGCAGCAGAAAGCATATAGAAGCCATAATATCATGCCACTCAAATTAGGAAGTGAACTTCATTTGCTTTACATCAGTGCTGAATTTGACTCTTTAGCGTTAATGCAAACCTCTTAAATTTCAACTTCCCACACAGAGTTTTAGTAATTTTGAATGAATATTCCACATCTATAGATACACAAAGCATACAAAAATCAGAAAATAGTATGCTTTCTTATGTGCAGCTCTAGTTTAGAAAGAAATAGAAAAAAGAGAAAAAATAATCAAGTCAGTATTCTATTGCGAGCTCAAATTCAAAGGCATCCAGAGAAGAAAAAGTAAACTGATAAGAACAGCTAAGAATGGTATTGCAAAGAAAGACATAAAGTAGAATAATTCATAACAGATGAACTTATACCTTGAGCAGATGAATTTACACTTAAGTAAAAAGGGAGCATAAAGTTGCTACTACCTTCCCACCAGCATACATTTGAGAAATCAGCTTTAAAAATTAAATAGGAGCTTGATAAGACACTATTCTTATAACACGTTCATTACTACATTTGAGTATCTTCCAATTGCATGGTGAAGGATATGAATAATCGCTCTTGAGTCCTTGGTGATAACTTGGGCTTAACTCCAGACATACAGTTTGCTGGACTGAGGGTCTGTATCATCTTCCAATAAAACTGAAGATGATTAATACCTCGCCAGGAGAAAGGCACTTAGTGTGGCTTTTGGCTCCTTTCTTGAAAATGCCTTAAAAGAGAGCATTTTGCTTTGTTCACTTGCTGCGGCCTCCCTGACTCAGTCTTGGGTTTTAAGCGTATGTGTTCAAGCAAGAGAAGACAGAAAAAGAACACTTCTTCTTGCAGCAAACATCTGTAAAAGTTTACTGAGGTCCTCAGATAATGTGGGAATTCACTGTAATCTAGGACCTGTTTCCCAAAGACACGCCTATGCTGTCACACTAGTGCAGTTCTTCACTTTCAATCAAGCCCACTCATTCACACACACTTCTCTTCATTCTAGCTCTCTCTAGCTCTAATTTGGAGAGAACCAGCTGACTGCAGATAGAGAATTTTAGGCAGAGGAAAGGCCGGTACATTCTTGAGCTCTCGCCCTATTGACGTGGAGCGTCGTCTTAACAGCAGTATACACAGCCCAGTGAGCTCCGTCTCCTATGCAAATGTGAGAAAGTTCATTATTCCTGACAAATGGAGCTCTTGACCACTGTTTTCACCTCAGAGCATTTCAATATACTAAGCACGGGCCACGGTAAAAGCCCAAGGACCAAAATTTTGACTTTGATGGGATGTCAGAGAAAAAAGGAGAGCAAGAGCCTGCCATGCACTCAGCAGCCTACACATCTGAAGAGGGATGCTTCTGGCTGCAGCAAAGATGTGCTGAATCAGGACAGACTTTCAGAGAAGGGCCAGGTGGCTCTCAGCCCATCTGAAGAAGGTGGCTGGTGGGTGGTTAGTGACTACACTACTCATCCCAAACAAAGTCATGACTGGTGGGAGAACAGCACCTGCTTTTGCTGGCAAAAGCAAGCAAGTCTTCCCACATGTCGGCAGGCATGCTCCACCTCATTAAAAAAAAAAAAACAAAAACTAAAACAACATCACTGAAAATATTGATCCTGTAACGGTAAATGTGACATATGGAAATGCCATTTGTATGAAATTATGTCTATACATTGAATAGTGTCTTAAACACAGAGGTCATCTTCTTAAATACGGGTTTTGTATTAAACAGACTTGGGATTCTGCATGTACTATGAGGTTTAGTACATTCGTGTGTTGTAATGAATTTCACTGGCTTGATTTTCAAAAGCAAAACACTTTCTACATTTTCTTTAGGACTAGCTGCTGTAAAGTCATACAATAAAGTTGAATTTTAAAAGCTCACTGTAGAAAAGAATACTGTAACTCGCATCCCAGAATGCTGGAAGAAATTTACTTATAAATCAAAAGGCCAAAAAATGCAGAATAAACAATGTGAGAAAC